AGGGTTTTTACCCAAAATTTTTACCCTCTAAGTATAATGGTGTGAAAACATATAGCCTAAAGCGTGACGTAAGTGTAGGGCTTTTTATTACAAAAGTATTATTCAAAAACATGCTGTCATTGCTGACATCTTAGGCAACAAAGAAGTGTGTGTTTACGCTTTATTATAATAGTATAGATTTATATGTATAATGATATAATAAATAGTAAACACACACTACTTCATGACGTAGGATGTCAGCAATCACAGCATATTGTTGAATAATTCTTATTCTTATTCTTAGGCTATATATTTTCACGCTAATAAACTTAGGGGACAAGTATATTCAAAAAAATATTCGTGTGTGAAAGGGACCATAAACTACAAGCTGCCAACATTAAGAAAGCAAGGTTATTAAGGTAATGGTAGTTTTGACATTTGCAATTTTTTTTTATAATTTCATGCGAATAAAGCCGCACGGGAACAGCTAGTCATAAATATGTTGGCTCTCTGGCGATGTGCCAATTTTGATATTGTATTTTGCTCTTGTATCCACTTAAGCAAGATTAGTGTTATATTATACGGCCCAATAGGTAGTTTACATTTAACTTTTTTTTCTTTTAATATTTTATTATTTGCCTTTACCAGTTTCTGTGGTTGTCTAGAAATGTTGACTGCGCATGCAAAGATTTAACCATTACATACCTGAAGTTTCTTTGATACCGGGGTTATAAATCGCTTGGGCACAATCGATTTTATTTTATTATTACGCTGTTTATGTCAGCTTTGACTGATAATCTTCAAGTTAGAAAACAAAAATAAGCATAACTAAAATAGATATATTTTTGTTCTTTTTCTACTCTTTTTCCCGTAAAAAACACAGTAAAAGATACATGTATACATTTTTAAATTCGATTTAAAATCTGGCTTTTAAGGGTTAAGCGTCGTTATGGGTCGATGATGACGGATGGGTACATTAATGAACTTGTAGCAGTCAAAGTGTTACAAAATGCAATACATATTTTTGTTATCAGATCAACCCGAATTACATTTGCGAATGCTTACTCCGAAATCGATATAATTTCGTGGAGAGGGTAACAACCTTAAGGCACGCGATTGGCCGATCGATTTTTATTACTAACCTATTTAAATCAAAATCACTTTGAGGATTATTTTTATTATAGTTAATAAAATAATTTATTAGATAATAAAAGCACTTGGATGTAATAAATTGATTAATTATTAAGAGATCCATCTTACATCTTACTAATATTATAAATGCGATTAGACGGATGTTTGTTAAAGTTTGTAGCCTAAACGGCTGAACGGATTTCGATGAAATTTGGTATAGATGTAGAGGATAGTCTGGAAGAATACATAGTCTATTCACTTTTGTTTTTTTCAATGCCACGCGGACGGAGTCGCAGACTAAAGCTAGTAATAGATAAATCTTAAAACAACTAGGCCTTTAAATAGCTATTAGTGTTTAAAATATAATAATAACTTAATTTCTTTATGTAGAAAAAAAAATACTTAAATAAAATCAAGGTACAAGACAGACATTACATACATTTGTTATATATTTTTTTTAATATAGACTTTATTACTTGTACTGATTTAACAAAGGCTTTATCAATTACATTGTTCAATTCTAATTTAATTAAATACACACAATAGAGACTTTGTGAGAAATAATCCTTGAACAAAAGATTTCTATAAGAAACGCTTCAGGCTAAAATCGAACGATCAGTCGTCCAATGTAATATTCTAAATTATATTCACGAAATAAAGGTAAATGAAATATTAACTAAATAATCTCATTAAATGCGAAAGTTTAGATGGATAGATGAATGTTTGTTAGAGTTTGTAGCCTAAACGGCTGAACGGATTTCGATGAAAATTTGCATATATGTAGAGGATTATCTAGAAGAACACATAGGCCACTCATTTTTGTTTTTTTTTTTATATCAAGCGGACGGTATCCCGGGCGAAAGCTAGTACTAAGTATTCATTGAATGTTTCGTTAATGGAATAATAATAATATATGGAATGTTTTAACTCTTTTTAAAGGGAGTTTAACTAACAAATAAACATGAGAAACTGTCAAAGTTAATGTTAACTGCAAATACATTTTAATCAACCAATTTTATTGTAAATTTCGTCCAATCAACGACAACCAGTAGTTAATATGTTTTTACATGAATGTTTATATTAAGGGCCCGATTCAAAAGGCAGTTATTTTAGAAACCGCACGCATAGTGAGGTTCCTGTCTCTGGAGCCCTGACTGGTTGTTTGAGATATCGGATTCCGCAGCCGGTGGTGCTCTATTTTCATATTACACGTTTTAATTTATTATTATACAAATCTTATAAAATGTTTTTTTTATAGAGAATAAGAAATAAAGATATATGTGGATAAAAAGCATAGTAATAATATTATTAAAGCTTGAATATCTAGAGGTTATAAGCTAAAGATGATATGACATTATTCAATGCTCTTTTATGATGCTAAAAAAAGACTTTTGCGTGACACCATTAAGTTAGCGTTTTGTGATATTAAAAATCTACCAATATACATTCATATAGAGCATAATATACTGACGAACAATATTAAGAAACTGACGACAGAAACACCGATTGGCAGATCATTTTTGTAGACGACAAACCGTTGCTTCGACCTCACAACGTTGACAATGATGGTCACGTATTTAAAGATCTTAGTTTTAATATATTCTGCAATGCGGACAACGTTAACTGACATTACATTTAACTTGAGTTCAGTGCCAAACCTCCATCATCAATTACACAAAGCAACTTAACCACAAAAGCTTACTTTGAGTTCATCGTTCAATTTTAAGTAGAGACAAGCTTAGCTGTTGATTGCCAGAAAGTACAATAAAGTTAAAATGATTGGTGAAATTGTATTAGTATATAGACTACTAACTTGATAAATAAATTAAAAAATAGTATTTTTGCATAATAGTTGTACTGTATTGTAGTGTACCATTACTGACTACGAACCGGATTTTGAGGGTACCTATTAAGAGATGAACGATGATTTACCCGACGTTCTTACAATGTAACCTGCACATATCGGCGAAGAAATTCAAAGATATGTGTGAAGTTAAGCCGCACTGGGCCAGCATGGTTGACTATGGACTAGTCACCCTATCGTATGGTAGGCTCCAAGCTCTTGGTGAGGTCGTATGGTGAGCTATTGATGATGATGAAAGAGAGGAATTCAAGACCATGTTCTTGTGCTAGAGTTTGGCAGTGGGACACTTACTTTAGTATCAAAAATAAGTTAGGATGGGTAGATTTGTTCAACAGTAGATATCTCCAAAACGGCATTACGCATTTCGGTGTTTGATATAGATGGAAAACGCAATCTGGAAGAACACATAGGTTACATGATCCCGGTGAATGTGTACGGTTCCCGTGGGAAACTTTCCCTTCATGCTACTCAGTAACTCCACAACGGGTTGACACATGTTACTAAAATTTTGCACATATATAGAAAATAATCTCTTATAACTAATAATGTCAACTTTTTTATTCCATGCAGAAGAATTCGCAGGCAAAAGCTAGTATATTATACGTTAGTACGATGTAATAAAAGATAATATACAATTTTATGTTTGATTACAAAGGGTATTCGGTTTCAGCAGGTGACCTAAATTCAGGTAGACGAAAATAAAGTTCTGTCTCACGAAATCCGGCCGCAAATTGTGCAAAGAAATCTAACCTTTAGAGTACCCTCGAGTCATATTACCCTGAAATTATATTATTACTCTATCTTAATACGTTTTCATAATAAAACCGTTACTGTTCTTAAATTATTGTATGTAAATATGTTGAAAACTTTAATTAAAAAGTAGAATCGGAGAAAATAAGTTAGTTTTATAATATAGAATAGTTTTATAATAAACAACCATGAGAGTTATTTACAAAAATAACTTCCCTTTACTTCGACCTAGAAAAAGATACGATAATAAAATATCAATCTTAAGATCTAATATAGAATCTTTCACATCCATCGACTCAAGAACGTTATTTACAAGAAAATCGGACAATTATTGTACAAAGGACAAAACTGCAAAGAGAAAGCAATAAAAAAACGTAAAAATCTATGGTAACTTACTAATTGATTTTCAAAACATTTAAATTAAGTTCTTATCTCATAAAGTCTATTAATTCAGTCATTGTTATAAAACCTATACAAAAACATAACAGTGGTAGAGCCCGCTTTAACAACTTCGCACGAATGGGCCGGCTCGCCCGGTGTAATACCACGACCACACAAAAACAGGCGCGAAGTGATAAAAATTCCGCGTTTCGTCTGATGAGTGTGGTACCGGAGGCCTAATTTTAGTCCCCTTCCCTTTCCACCCTTTTCTTAAGAGGACAGGATGGGAAGGAAAAGTGGATTTGACGGTGGAGTAGACGCATAGGAAGGGGAAAAGTCCTCTTTATGTACGTCTCTTCCTCCGTCAATTAAGGGTAGGCAACGCATCTGCAATTGCGGATGTATATGGGCAGCGGTCGCTTTCCATATCGGTGGATTCAGGTGGCCGGTTGCTCGTTTGCCACATTATATTATAAAACAAAAAAAAACTTTTATCTCTGTTTTCATAAAAGTGTTATCACAACGAAAACTCACTTTTAAACCATGACATGTTTTAAATATTATCAATATTGAATATACCTTTTAAACCGTTAAATAAATAACCACAATCTTCAACGTCTTTGTTGTAAAAACTGTATAAATAACGAAAAACATTCAGATATCTAACTATATTAATACAAATATCTTTACAATAAACAAACAGTGAGCCTTTACAAATGATAATGTCGGTAAGTTATTCAGAACTTCAGTAGCTGGAAAGCTTTCGCGTCGGGTGGTCGTGTTTGTCGCTGTCAAATAGTTTCTTTCGTGATAAATAAATTTAAACTTAATTATTAGTGTTGAATAATAATGTTCTAGATTTTGTGGGTAACAGATGTTGCAGTGTTATGTGGATGGAAAATGTTTCAAACACTACTTATGGTTAAAACTGTAACTCATCATATATAAATATTTCATGTAAGTAATCTACCATAGATCTATAAAGATTTATTTAATTTAGATATGACATTTTACAATAAACAAAAATTACAGGTACGATAAATCTTATTTACAGATAGATAGTAAAATTAACCATAAGACCGTATATTACTCAAATAGAGTAAGCCGAGGTAACCAAAAGCTCGTCTTTTAAATAATTATGAAAAAAGAATGAAGGTTTATATAAATCAGTTCGTACGGAACTCAAAATAAAAAAAAAAAAACACAATTAGTAGCCTCTACTTTCTTCCAGACTATGTTCTACATATGTGACACATTTCAACAAGATCTGGTATGCAGTTCTGCATTTATGAAGTAATATATCTATCCATCTAAACTTTCGCATTTATAATACAAGTAAGATAATTCTGTTCTTTATCAATACTAATATTATAAAGAGAAAAGATTCGTATTTTTGGATTTTTGTATGTATTGGAATAACACCAAAACTACTCGGCAGATTTTAAAAATTCTTTCACATATAACACGTATTTAAATTTTTTTAATTACACGCAGACGAAGTCGCGAGCAACAGTATTGTGACATCTATACTATTATTACAAAGCGTAAACACACACTTATTTGGGGCCTAAGATGTCAGCAATCACAGCATATTAGAACAGCTAGTTGAAAAAATAACGTTTTATTTATAACCTAATCGTCTACAATATGCCTTAAAGCACCGTGTCTGCTGGAATTAAGTGTACATGTAAATACAGGCATTACATTTAATTGCATAATAAATCTAGTAGGCGTTGCTTGCAAGCTCTTGAAATATAGCTTAAAGCTTTGTATAGACTGTAACTATATTTCACTTTTATTATCTAAAAAAAAACAACACAAATGTTAGAACTATTTCACAGTAAAGAATGATATATGTACAGACACAAATAGAATAATCCTAAACGAAATATCCATTAGTAAATTGGTATCTACTTTAATATGAATTTCGGATAAAAACTCGACTCGCGGATTCCCAAATGTAATGCAATATGAAACAAATGGAATATTTTTATGTGAACGAAATAAAACCTATCTGTTATTTTCCCGTTATTTTACACTTTACGCGACTCCGTCCGCGTGGAATTAAATAAAAACTTAGTAAGTAGCCTATGTTTTTTAAGACTATGTTCTACATTTAAGCCAAATTTCATCGAGATCCGTTAAGCGATTTAAGCTACAATCCTTCCATCCATCTAAACTTTCCATCATCATCATCATCTCCTTATTTTTTTCCTGAACATAACTCTATCATACGTCATCTCAGTCATCACTCCCTTTTTGATCATGTCACCTTTTACACAATCCATCCATCTCTTTCTAGGTCTACCTCTACCGATGTACCCTTCCACGCTCATAACTAACATTCTCCTTGTAACATGCGATTCATCACTCCTCATAACATACCCATACCATGCTAACCTTTTACTCCTTACCTTCTCTACTACGGGGGCTACTCTCAAACTTCCTCTAATATACTTATTTCGTATCTTATCCATTCGTGTTACCCCACACATCCACCTTAACATTCGCATTTCTGTCACGTGTAGTCTCCTTTCATCCGTTCCTTTTACTGCCCAACATTCAGATCCATACATCATGACAGGTCTTACGACGGCCTTGTAAATTTTCTCAAATTTCCATCCATCTAAACTTTCCCATTTATAATATTAGTAAGATAACTTTTACTCCCGGAGATCACCAGCAATATAAAGTTTGGGGTTCTTCGGAGAACTGGAATGGCTGAAGTAATCCAGGTCCTGTTCGTATGTAAAATACGCGCCAGTCGTGGAGTTGCAGAAACCGTAGCCCCTACTACTACTACCACTAAGATATCTCTTGTATAGTAAATGAAATCAATGAGTATGTTTCAATGTCTGTATGTATGAATGGAAAGTGTGTATGAGTTGTATGTAAAATGAGGCCAAGAAGTGTGCATTCAGATATGACAACTGCAAGAGATGTATGGAGTACACAGTTTGAGACACAGTGTCTGTACACGTTAAGTAATCTGTGTCGACTGTAAATTTCATTTTCGTGACCTTTGTTTTTAACTCTACTTTGGATAGTTGACACGATTTTAAAAATAAATAGATTCTTTCACTTGCCTCTGAGCTTCAACGAAACACTATTGTGGGTCGGGAAGCAGTTACAAGAGTCACTTGACACTAAACTTCCAACGACTGAAGTAGTGTGGTGCGACCTTTATTTAAGAGTCGTTTACACCTACTATTTAAAACGCGCAATATAGTTTTAACTTTTTTTAACAAAAGAACCAGCAAGGGTGTCCGCAGTGGTCATTGTAAAGTCGAAAAATCTTTCAACTGAACTCTCTAATACTGAACTCTATTATAAATGTGAAAGTTTAAATAGATGCATGTATGTTTGTTAGAGATTTCGATGAAGTTTAGCACAGATTTAGAGTAACTATAGTCTGGAAATACACATAGACCACATGCTTTTGTTTTAGCCACGCGGACGGAGTCTCGGGCGAATGCTAGTTGGTAAATTAAATCGGAATATGTCAAAATCATGTATAAAGGATCTTCAAAATCGAAATAGAAAATCGATTTTTCATAATAACTGAATTCGATTCAGTCGATTCATTCGATATAAAATAATCGATGTTTTAAGCATGTCGAATTACTACGGACAATACTATAGATCAATGTTATTCATAGTAAATCATTTTTAAAAGCGTTTCGCCCGTCATTATTTCCCGCGGTGAAAGGTACGATGGTTATTAATTGGACTCTTTGTACAGCAATTTAAAAGGTAAACGAACGCTAATTAAAAACAAAGACTCGGGTCGAACTAATTTACTATAGAAATTGAATATTATTTCTGGTCTACAATTAATATAGTCAATCTAATTTTATTATTATCAAGTAACATAATAGAATTTCAAATGGTTAATTTTTCTTAGGAGCGTCAGTGGCTCAGTGGTGTAAACACTTGACTTGTAATCTACAGATCTTGAGTTCGAATCCCGCCATGTACCAATGTGATTTTGGATTTTTCGAATTTTTATATGTACATAATTTACCCGACGTTCTTACGGTGAAGGAAAACATCGTAATGCAACCTGCACATATCGGCGAAGAAATTCAAAGATATGTGTGAAGTCAATCAACCCGCACTGGGTCAGCGTGGTTGACTATGGCCTAGACACCCCTTATTAGTAGGCTCTGAGCTCCTCGGTGGGGACGTATAGTGAGCTGGTGATGATGATGATGATTTTTTCTTATACTAAAGTTCTACTGAGATTCTATCTTAGTTGCTAACTGCTATTAAGGTACCAACGTACGTCATGCAGTGTAACATCGTCATGTAACATGATTGAGCGTTACAGAACAATTTATTTTTGAAATAAATTCATTACTATCATTAGAATAGCTATCAAAAACAACTTTAGCTTTTTAAAAGCAACTTTAGCAACTAATCCATCAATGCACGAATATCTCAATTCCCTCTCGCCATTCCAATCATCCCGAACTGCAAAGAGAATCGATTCCGTATGTGCCTTGTGGCTGCATTTGATACACATTTCACTAACTAGTCCGACTGGCGAATGTAGATATTAAAATGTTCACAGAGCGGATACCTAAATTAATCAAACATCAAGTAAGGGAAATGTTAAATCTGTCTTTCTTATAAGACTAATAAAAGTCATTTATTGTCCTGTCTATTATTTCTTATGGTTTACATGTTTCTCTATGGAAACTGTAATTTATTATACGATTATGCTTATTTGTTTGTCTTTTATAATAAAAACAGTTAGAAAATTTATGTAACCGTTTATCTCTCAATTTAAACAGAGTCAAATATAATTAGGTACTCTCTATATATACTTCACCTCATTTTACTATAAATAATTAGGGATACAATGCAAATGACGTGTAATTAACGTAAATACTCTGCGCGTCATAGTCGTGACGTCATACTGGTAGCCAAAATAAACTCGGCCATCAATAACGAGGAGTCGCGTCAGCGCTGCGCCAGTACGCCTCAAATATTTAACAGCTTCGTTCGCTAATGGATATCAGTATACCAAGCTTAAAATGACTTACATGAGCCAGGGGTGTTAAACCAATGGAAAGGGGTATAATATTTTTGGCATATCATTGAATCACAGAATTTATTGAACACTACGGAAACAATGTGAAATATGTATTAAATCAAATACTACCAATATACAAAAACCGAAATAATTTGATAGCACGTCTATGAGCTCTACAATTAATTAGAATATGACCGTTATACGTAAAGGTGCGCAACCCCTGCACTGGAGATAAATTAGACAATGTAATTGCAGAAACTATAAAAGTCAAGGTCTCTCACTAATAAAATCCTAAAAGCAGGCGCAGACATTTGACTAAACTATCGCAAACTGTTGTGCGATTGTCGATTGTTTCGCAGCACATTCAAATGTTATTTGCACAATTAAAAATCGAGTAGCGTGCGCACCTTAAGCTTATAAGAATCAAGGCGCGACTAAACAGTTCCGATAGTTTAGTCAAAGCTACGCGCGCAGTCTAAACAATCGTACCTGCCTATCTGAACCGCTTGCTAAATAAAAGAGATTATCTATACTAATATAATAAAGCGTAAATACACACTTCTTTGTGGCTTAAGATGTAAGCAATTACAGCATACTTTTGAATAATTATTTTTGTAATAAAAAGTCCTACACTTACGTCATGCTTTAGGCTATATATTTTCATGCTATTAAACTTGTGGGTAAATAAATTGGATAAAAACCCTAACGTGGGAAAGAAATCATAATCTGCTGCCAACATCAAGGAAGCAAGGCTGTCATGCTTTGTCATCATGTCATGTCATCTTGACATTTGCAATTGAATTTGATAAATGTAAATAATAAAACAATTTTCATAATTTCATGCGGATGAAGTCGCACGGGAACAGCTAGTGTTATAATAAAGCTTATTTACATTCTGAATATACTCACCCTTATGACG